TCAGTAAAGATGAATAATAGTTTTAGAGCTAAAAAATAAAAGAAATATATACTTTTTTATTATTTTATGAATGGAGTGGGAGTCTGTATAATAGATAATTTTTTTAAAAAATAGATTATTAATTTATTGGCATCAGATCATAAGAAAAAAGAGTTCAAACCTTATATTAACGTTTAAATACATAATTTTTGATTCTTTTTTTAATGATATTTTTATTGAAAAGATATTAAACATCTTATTAAAAAAATTTTCAAAAATTTTTTACATTTTTAATAACTATAATGTGAAAAATTTTTACAGTTTAATATAGAATTAATCAATAGTTTAATATTACTATGCAAATTATTGATCAAGTAAAGTAATTAATAAAAAATATAAAAAAATTTTTTTATTAAAATATTCTTAAAAACTATAATATTATATAGTAAAGCAGTTAGAATTTTTAGCAATTTTTCTTTTAGGTTATATTTTAATGTATTTAGAAAAATTGTAAATATGTGATAAAAAAAAGGCAAAAAAGTATTAGTAATTTAAATTACTTATACTTAGTAAAATAATAGATCAAAAGATTTTTTTAATTCTTTTCATTAGTTAAATTGAACAGATTATGTGATTGGATATATGTACTTTATTATCAAAAGGATTAGAAAGTATTTTATCATATGATCATAGATATCATATAAAGAATTTTGTTCAAATAAATCAAAAATATTTATATTGCTATGAATATTTTTATGATAATATCAAATATTACAAAATATTTTAGAATTCATTAAGTAAGGTATTTGATGATAATATTAGTGAATATATTAGTGAAGATTTTGAAAACTAAGCAGAACTACAGAATGGTAATGTTAATGAAGTAGTTTCTATAAATAAAAATATAAATACTATATAGTCCTGAAAATAAGCACTCCGTGATATACTCTTTTTATAGTAATTTATTTATTTATTATATAGAATTTATTATATTATTAGTCACGTATATACTGATAAATTCATATATATCACATGATGCTTATTTTCAGGACTATACGGTAAAAAATTAAAAGAGATATTAGAATCATTTATATTATATTAGTAATATAAAATTGATTAAAGTTAATTGATATTTATTTTATTTAAATTTACTTAAATTTTACTTTAAAAATATTTATTTATTTTATTTAATATTTTTAATATTTATTAGTTATAAGAATAATACAAAATCAAAGATATGTTCTCTAATAATTAAATTTAACCTTATATATGAATAAAATATTTAATAGATAAATATTAAATACTTATGATATAATTCATCATGTCTATTTATTTTATTTGTTTATTTAATATTTAATTTAATATTTAAAATTAACATTTGTTATTAGATCATTTTTTTGATTAATTAATAAAAATAAAAATAATTATTTATTGAATAATGAATAATATAAAATTATAACTTTAAATATATTGTTATAATTTTCTGTAGAAATATATCATATATACGTCATAATACATGCTTTTTTAGTATTAAATTTACTATAATTATATTACAAATGTATTGCAATATGTATTATGAAATTACTGTATTAATAAAAATATATTATACTTAAAGAAATATATTAATCAATCAGTTATTAAATGCTAACTAATGATAAGTTGATTGAATAATTTAAATTTCTAAATAAATTTTAAATAAATGCAAAGTTTAAGAGTAGATTATTATATAGAATTTTTAATTTGTACAAAATGATAATTTACATTATATAAATATAATTAAATAATAATCTAGCAAAATAATCAACATTTATGTGATAAATAAGAAAACCTGCTATGTTGTGAAATACTGATAACATACAGTTAACTATCATGCCCAACTTTATACCTATAGCACTGGCCACATTTATATATAAGTTGCATCACAAACCTTACATAACATGCAACAAAAAAATGTAATAAAAACTGATTTTTTAAACATATACATTTAATCAAATAAGTATTACAAGTAACTTATTCTTGAGTATTAATAATAAAATAAACACCTTTTTTTTAGCATTAAGTTTTTTATTAATTTTGTATTAACAGAAACACATATTACATATTAGAAAATAAACTAATTTTGAAAACTAATAGTTACAGTTTCTTTACCTAAACTCTCTATCTTAAATGCATCAAAATCTTCAGAGCATGATACATGTATGAAATCCTTTTGCAATTTTAGAACCTTTTTTACTTCACTACGAATATCAATAATAGCTATACTCTTTGCATATTTTATAATTTCTTTATATTCTCCTATTGAAGGGATAAATCTTGCTTTGTGCTTAGCCATATCATCACCATCTCTCAAGAGCTCTATTGCCCAATCCAATTTGTCTACATAAAAATCTATTTTACCATCACATCCAAAAACTGAACCCACATCACATGACAAAAAATGATCCTTTCCCAATACCTGTGTACCGATTCTATAAAATTCTTTCTGCCACGATTGTTCTAAAATTCTTCCATCAGATCCAAATCCAAGCGTTTCTCTTAAAATTTTTCCACTTAGTTCATTACACATTGCTGTAAAAATCTTTATTATAAAATGATACAAATCTGTGGGAGTAATATCAATACTATTGACAGCTCCGTAATTTTGCTGAAAAAATGACCGTTTAAGAAGGGGTGCTGCAAAAGTTAAATACGCATTATTTTCAACAACAAGGAATCCACATTTAACTAGATATGAAGCATCTGGATCCAAATTATTTATAGAGTAAGGAGCTTTTCCTTTTAAATAAACTTCCTCACATAATGATCTTTGTTTCTCAGTAAGTGAATCAGTTCTTGGTACAGCACGGCAGTTGATATAGACAGATGAATCAAAATCCTTTGAATTCAAGTACTTGAATATTGTTTCCCAGGTTAGGTTATTAGTATCAATTCGCTTCTTCATTGCATTTTCTATAGACTTCAAGATGTGACGAACCAAACCCACGTGTCCTTCTGTTGCCGCTTGGATATATTCATATAATTTTGAGACGCTTTGTTGATCTAAATTTTTGAAGTAACTACTACTGATCTTTGCAATATATGTTCCTAATTCTTTCATGGTAAAATTGATGTCAATAAGATTTTTGCAATTTTCTTCCGGTAATGTGACAGGAGTTGTGAACCCTGCTTGGTTAGAACTTCTATATCCATAAGCAGCAAACATAATAATCTTTATATTTGCCATTTCTTGAAGGGCACTTTTAATAGTCAACCAGAATTGATCCGCAGAATCTAAATTATTTTCATCAATTTTTTTCTCCTTCCCATAAATTAATTGAACTTCATCTATTATCAAAATAGTTTCAATAAATCTGCACTGCCCTATCCAATCGATCCAATCTACACCCACAATCCGGTTCCAAAGCATATTAAATGAATCGAAGCATTTTTGCACCCCTACACTCTGTCCCCAAATCATTGAAACTCTTATAATCCTGCGATTTGAAAATTCTATTGCATGAACCAAGTTATTCTCCAAAATTTGGGCCATAGATGTTTTGCCGGAGAAGGGAGGCGCTCGAACAAGTATGACGTTTCTATCTTCAAAATCTTTGATCAAATGAGGTATGACATCAAATCTTAGACTGATGTCAGGGTCATTAATATTAATACCCTCATTGGTAGGTCTCACCCTCTGATCCATAGGTAGCCTCGTACCACCAAGGCCACCTGAAAAAGACTGATAATTAGAAATAGAACACTGATATTAATGAGTACCAACTTATACGTACCTTGTCGAGGCAGATAGCCAAAGTTTGCAATGACACGAGATATATCGGTGAGCCCTTGATCTAGTACAAAGCAAGCAGAGACAAAGGTAATCAATACATCATTTAGAAAACAGAATAGCGAAATTATCTTTTTTCGAGAAATAAAAATTTAGGAGACACTTACCAGACGACGGTGGTTGTACGATGATGTGGATATAGTTATCCAGAAACTCATAATCGGTTGGGAATTCCGTTAAAAACTTCGTACTTGGGCTCAACTCATTACTGGGTTCAATGACTTTATGAAAGTTCTTGTTAAGTTCTTTCAAAGTTTCGTTATCTTCACTTAGAGGAGTTGCAAACTTCCATAGCTTCAGTTCGTTGGCTTTGTTGTTAGGCCATATCAGTTTCTTAAGATGCCCAAAATTTAATTTTTCAAGACGGACATCAACATTATCAACTTTGTTTACACTGCCAAGGTCAATCGGAATAGCACTTTTAATAGGAGTACCTAGAACGTAACAAAATAATGTAATGTCGGCCATATATCTGCAAACGCGAAATTGAGTTAAAAAACCAAATTGAGTAAAGTACAAAATAAAGACCTTTTTTGGGACGGATTTAGCTTGGCAGGTAAGGAATTTTCATTAAAATAAGTTTGTACTGGGGATAAGAGACCTTTTGACCGAGACATTTTATATATTATCTACGAATGTTTCTTCTTCAATGTTACGCACAATCTGTATTTAGCTTAGGCAAATCATCGTGTGAAAATGCGCAGTTCTACTATTCGGAAAAATTAGTGTGGGTCTGTACTACGTAAGCGAAACGAAATGAAATATTCTCGAGCATCACGCTTTACTAAGGTAAATTTATTTCATGTCTTGTAAAAGTATAATTGACTCGACGACCAACTTTTGTTGATCTCTTCGATGTCTGCCATTTAGTAACGAACTTACAACACTTAATCTGAATAATGTTCGAGTGTTTGAGCGAAGTAACATCCTCGGAATGCTAAAAATAATGATTTTACTAAGTAGCATAGCAAAATACATTTATCAAACAATGATATACACCGTTAAAAAAATAAAGCCAAATGTGGGCGAACTTTATTAATATGCAGTAAATTTTATTACATGGAAGAGGTCACGATATCACGTGAATGACGCAGTAAATCTCGACATCGGAATATGTTAGTTTGTCATGAATATCACATTCAAAGCATGCATGACGAAATTTTTTTGATTACAACTGCCCATTTTTACACCCTATCTATTTTGTATGAAAATAAATAACGCCAACACAATAGTTGTCCAAAAGCTTTGCCGCCCTAACAGTCTTAATAGCGAGTTGAAAGTGCCGAATAGGTTCGAACCATTGAGCACTGGGAATGACATTCTGCCATGAACCCTCAGCATCTTCTCCACCATAACTTTCCCATTCATATAGAATTTGCCTTGGGTTCGATAATTGGTATCCGTAGACAAAAATCATCATTATCTACTTCCGATCTCTGAGTATATCTCGAAGCAACCACCACCTTCTTCCATAGATCATCCCCTTCGGAAACTAGATCCCGATAATTCATGCATTTGATTTTGTCTATCGACCCAATACACGACAATTCCATTAAATCCCTTACGATTCTTAATCCAATTGATTGCATGTTCAATCGATGGGTTTAAGTAATAGCTATAGACATCTCCAAAATCGAAACTTTGTCTGCCATGTGTAAGCTTGATTCATACTTGCTGATTACTTGGGCGCTTTGATACAGTGTTGGTAAATGACCTTGAAGTGACCTTAAAATGACCTAATCATGTGATGATTTTACTATGAAATCTATCACGTGATCATATACAAGGTGACCCACCTATTCTATCGTAACTGTTCCACTGATTGCGTGGAAAGTTTGCATCATAAAAAACGTTATCAAAGGCCATCTGAATATTGGAATCCCATGGATTGAGAATCCATTCGTATAACCAATGATATAAAATTTGTTTAGACCATAGGGTATCTTCACACACACTATTACGGAGTTCATTTGCGGTTTCTTCCGTAAGACCCCATTCCACAAGTAATCTCTTATCATCACCTGAAGTAACGCCACTTACACCAGTTCCCTCAATGCCAACGAAGATTGTTGGATTCAGTCGCTGGCGTTCTTCGAGAAAATCAAAGCATGAGTTCCGTATTTGTTTTAAGATCAAGGTGAACCTCAACTTCCAGAAAGGACCTAACGAGGTTTGATTGAAAACCTCGGCTAATAAAATAAGCCATGATCTCGGAATGAAGAGGGTCTGTTGATTCGTCGGATAATGGGGGTTCTTTTCCTGAAACTTCGAATAATGTTGATTCGTGTGCAGTTGATTCGGTCGATGGGGTTAATGAAGACATACTTAAAATTTTCTCTTCTTTGAATCATTGAAAGTCATTAATTAGTGTTGTATGAGGGTTTAGAAGGGCTGATATAAAAACTGTGTTTACCCATTATTTTCAGTTTGTCGAGATAGTACGAAATTCCATCAACGATAAGCTTCTTATATTGCCCAGCCTTTAAGTATAAAAAAATTCGTAAATAACAAAATCATACCTCTTAACAGCTTAAGGAATTTAACGCAAGCAGATTTATTACACCACGTGATTTATGTCATCCAAAAATAGTAGGATTCTAGATTACTGATATGGTTACACGAACACACTTTCTGTTGAAAGAGATAAAGCCTACCATTCATATTTTTTTTTTTCGTGTATCAATCAAGAAATACATTTATTTATTTTATCAAAAAAAAAAAAAAAAAAAAAAAAAAAAATTTTCATAGTTTAGTAATTTGTAAAGATTCAATGAGTGGTCCAAGAAATAGGTATGGTAGGCGTTCTCCCTACCAACACCGTCAGCACCAAACGCAATCGCATTTTCAACGCTCACACAGCCAGGAGAACAGAGGTACTGTAGATTTTAATATTTAGATTAAATTTGATATATTACTAAATTATGTTTCTTCAAATTTAGAGTCTGTAAAACTTTCGCGCGTACACCAACTTCTTTCACGTATACGCGACGAAAGTGATACGGTTTATTCCAGGCGTCTATCACACGTGCATCAGCTTACTTCTCTATTGGCGGACCCTTGTTCAACTTGGGAAAAAATACAAATATTTGAAGCAGTTACTCGAATACAAGGAGGACTTGAAACAGTCTTTGAAGATATTAGGTAAATGGTTTTCATCAATCCTTTGATCAATTATGATGAATCTACCTAATTCCTTACTTGTTTTTCGTGACAGGGCACCAGTAAATTTCAAAACCGCCGTGGCAAAGTGCTTGGCCTTAATTGCTTTCAACTTAAATAATGAAATAAATACATATTTTCGTTGGTTACTTGAAAGGTTACAGATAGCCAATACGAATTCTATTGAAAGGGAAAAAGAACGTAAATTTTGGATATTGTTCTCCCTTAAAGAGGTAGAAACAAGGTCTTTTTATATTGTTTTAGTTATACTTTATATAATAAAATTGATAATTAATTTTACACATGATACATAAAGGTTCTCTCACGTAATGTTTCGGGAACTAGCTCTCAGAATACTTTGATTTCGGGACCTTTCCAACAATATATTCCTGGACTACTTCAAGATTTGGAAAGTTTACTCGACTCGATGGACAGTTCGGATTTCTTTCCGGGAATTTTAGAAGTTTTGGAAAAAATAGCGGAAAAGTATCCTCAAGAATTCGGAGATCGATTTAAGGTAAAAAATTATTATTATTATTATTTTTGAAAATTCTCTTCTTTCAATAAAAATATCTTAAATAATTATAATAATATGTTCTTCTAATAAATTTACAGGATGTAATTGATCTATTGGTTGGGTGGTACATTGATATATCAGTTTCGAACTCTCTTCATAGCCTGATTGCTGGTATAAAATTATTATTTATTTACTATGAACATAATATAATTGATTTGTGCTATTTAATATAATTTATATACTCTCTTATTTTTTCAGATACATTCAAAAAGTTACGACCTTTCTGGTCTCAATATTTAAATTTTGCATATGAGTTGATGAATCATTTTTTGGCAGACATGGAAGTTTTATCAGGTGTGACAGTGTCTCAAGAAGGACCTCAAATTGATAAACAATCAAAGACTGAAGGCGAGACAATGCCGAATCTTAAGGCGTTGTTAAGGTAAGCTAAAGATTATTTATTTTGAAAGATTTCAAATTAAGCGTTAATATTAAATTTACTTTCACTAGTTGTTTTCATGCAGTGGCCGATGCCGTTGGAACAATTTTACCACAAGTTACATTAGATGAGCTCGATGAAACAACAATTAGTGAGAACACGCACCCATATGATCGACTTCGCGCTTGGATTATCAAGTTCATATTGGTTATAGGAGAAATGTATATGGATATTGAATGGTTCGAAAAAGGTGCAAATTGCGTAATCATTTGTGATTGAATCAACTAAATATAATAGGAGTCCAAAAGTTTGTCTATAAATTTGACAGAGAAGTTTTTGACTTTTCATCCAGGAAATCAAATTATCCAAACATTGAGCATGTCGCGTAAACCATTGTTTATACAACATCAAATTCAAGCAGCAAAATTTTGGCTGTTACAAATTCAGGATGGTTTTCATATAAATATCTCAATACAAAGCGTAGATGAATGGTTTGATGGATTTCTTCAGGTTTTTCATCAATTTATTTTTAAAGAAAAGTGCGTTTATATTTATTTAGGTTATAAACTTTGCTTATTTTTTTTAAATATTGGCTACTTCTAGGTTCTTGTACAATGGATACCTTCTATTCATCCTGAGGTTATATATACCTTAATAAATCCAGACTCTGCTTTGATGAAACTTCGTTGGAATTCTTATGGCGCTCGTTTAAATTCTGACTTACTGGATATGTTGCATATTGTTCTTCAAAATCAAGTTTCTGTCATTCCCCGATGTAAAACTAATGAAATGACTTTGATTCATCAAATAACGATTGAAATTGGTATTATGATGAGTTTAGTGTTTCGTTCGGATGGTTCATCGAGAATTTCTTCACATTTACATTGGAGGGATATTTTGAAGAGAAATGAATTTGATCATGATCACACTATTGTTCAATTTCTTGAAAGCTTACGATCTCTTTTAAATTCTACTGATAAGCCATTAAAGGACTGTTCATTAAACATTCGAACTGCTACTTCAATTCTCATCTTCGATATCAAAATTCTAACTGATATTGCATATTCATGGAATCATAATCGAGAGACATTTTGGGTCTTTTATGTGATGTTAAATAAGATCGGAGAGAGTGGTCAATTTGATGGTTTAGTTATGTGTACTTTGCTTAAGTCTTTACGTCAAGTGTGTCGAAGGTATAATATAGTTCATAAGTTATTTTGTATCTTTAATACATATATTAATTTATTTTCATCGTCTTTATATAATAGTAAAGACTATTTTATGACCGAAATTAAAATTGATTCTTCGCTTCCTTCTACTTTTTGTGCAATGGTTACTACTCTCACTGTACTCTTGCGATATCCTAATGAATTTTCATCAAACGTTTTGGCTTTAGCATTTGATTGGTTTGAAGATATTTTGGAATTTTGTAGTGGTAAACAATTTCACATAAAAGAAATTAGTGAAATAATTCGAAAAGAATTTGATAATATTATTTTTTCTTTGGTTATTACTGCAAGTAAGTCGAATTTTTTCACAATACAGTCTATTAATTCTGTAATATCATTTATTTTTTTAGTTAAATTGACAATTGATGTTACTTTATAGGAGTTCTCAGAAATAATGATATTCGTCTTCAAATACCTAAAGTTATTTGTAATTACTTTGATGTGTTTGGATCTCTTAAATTCCATAAGAATTCTATGATCAAGGTTGCGCACAGGTTGATAAATTACATAAGTTAAAAACTCTTTGTAATGCGCTTTACATTTTACAAATTAATTTAATTTTTTTTATTTGAATGAAGGTTGTTTGATTCGGATATCAACGTACAAAGCGAATTTTCGAAGTTAATTAATTCTATTAATCCTCTTTATTGTACTTTTCGAATTGATCCTTTGATAGATCAATTTGTCGTAAATTTCAAAGTATGAGAGCTACTTTATATAATTTGTTATTATGATTATTATTCCTAGAATTTATGACGCGTATTTACTATTATTTTTACTTTTATTTTTTATTTAGAAAAATATTTCTTCAACACCTCATTTAGGCAATTTTAGACCACCACATTTTCAGATTGTAATGTCTCGTCTTGGCATGAATGAATTATTATCCTCTCAAGATGAAACAATTATCATAAGTGATGATACGTATGAAAAGGGTCAATGGCTGCTTCGATTATTTCATTCATGTCAATCAATTGAGGGATTTGACAAAGAAAATCATATAGAAGATGAAGGAAATATGAAATATGGTAAATCTATTTGTTTGATATACACTTTAAAATTGTGTATAAACTTCTAATATTTTAAAAATCAATCTTATCAAATAAAAGTATATTCAGAAAGTGATATAGCCGGTACTATTTCAAACTCTAACGACCTCCTTACATATTGGAGTCTTTGGGAAGTCGTTCGTTACTGTGTACTGTCTAGGTTACGAACACCGTTTGGAGGACCTAAACAAGTATTTCATATATTATAAAGTGAATTGTTAGCAATTTTGAGACACGCATTTATAATTTATAATATACATGAACTAGACATTTGACGCCTTTGAAAAGAGGCTAAATGACTTATTGATTCAAGATGTTGATATTCCCATATCCTATGGGCTCGATGAAACGAACATTCATGATAGGTATTTTAATGTAAACGTTTACTATAATGAAAAATCGGCCGTTTATTAATACATAATATTTTTAAGTATGCATAATTTAAATCAATTACGTGATTTATTGATCCTGATCGATCGATTGGAACTTCAAATATACAATGCAGCAGTAGGAACTGCTCTTGGACGTTTGCCACAAGCTCCACGTGCAAGTATAATCTTTTTCAGAGCAAATCGAAAGGTTTGTGATGATTGGTTTTCTCGAATGAGGCCCAGCATTATAAATGGTTCCAAAATTATCGGTCATGATGTTATGGCCATTAGGCATGGTTTATTGGTAAATTCTCTTTGGACTTTGCATAATTTTCGTTAGACATATCGCATCGTACTTCTAATCAATATCGATCTACTTAGTCTCTCATGGAACGGGTTAACTTATTGAAACAAGGAGCAATTAAGAGTAGAATGACATGGATGATGGAATTCCAACAAATGTTAATGGATGTTGGTGAGTTTAAAGATAACACTGTCATTTTATAATTTTTTCGTTATCACTAATTATCATTACATTTCTTAGTTCAATGTCTTCAAA